AAGCGATGTTTCTATGATTGTGTACACATTATTTTGTTGCAAACATGAAAGAAATGTATACTCTCCTATTGCAACTGGACGTCACATGGAAAAAAAAAAAAAACAAAGGTGACTACTGTGGCTTGTCAGTATTACAGCAACTGTTAAAACTCCAGCCTTTTGTTCTCAAATGTTAATGGGAAAAAAACAACAACATCTTTTGTAAAAGATTACAATTTAGGATGGTAATGATACATTTGTCTCAAGAGAATTTGTATTCTGTCTGCAAATCAATCAAGATATGGTGAAACGATTTAGAAAGAAATCACAGCTGAATGCATAAAATCCTGGGAACAAAGAACGATACCTGCATATAAGAGACAGATGACAATACCCATCAATGGACAGAGAAATGCATTTCTCCTTATTCTTGTAAATATATAAACTCATAATTCTTGTAGTTTCTACTACAAATAACATACGATTTTTGTTTGCAGCACACTACCCAGAAAAATATTGTGCACTCCGTATTTTTGCTAGCACATACCATGGATGTATATTAGATCAAGACTTTCATGATTGGAATAAAATCACTGAAATGTGGATTGAGTTGATAACCTTAATGCAAAACATTATCTTCTCTTTTTTTCTGAATTTCTCACAATGCTTTTAACACACTAATCCTTAAAAATCATTTAAGCAATAGAGTGGGAGAAAGCATCACATTGGAAGGGAATAATTTCATGCCTCAGATGTGTTGTGAAGCATGAGGACGAAGAATGAGTGACTTCTGTCACCTGAGAAGTGCAATGATTCCCAGAAAAGCACTGCCTAAAGTATCTTATTGCTATTGCTACATGGAAATTATTTTAGAAAAGGTCACACCCATGGAGCTACTAAGAATTATTAGAAATGAGTGATTAAGGTGGCAACCATACAGCCTATAATTCACTGTTTAATAAATAAGTGAGCTTCCCCATCACACTTTCAAAAATAAAGTGTACATTTTAAAGATTAAAAAGAACCTCGCTTAAGTGAAGTGCTTCCGGGGCCTAGCATGACTGTCAAATCTCCGCTACAACAGCTGGGAAAACTCAGTGTTCAGAAAGCTGTATTTCACCCAAAAGACTTCCATGGTGACAATTGTCCAAACCCAAATTAGGTGCTCAAGAGATACAAAGATATTTGCAGACCAGAAAGGTGACTGCAAAGGTGGCTGTTGCTCTACCTCATGGTCACCTTATGAGGGGGCTCTGGTCTCTGGAGAACAAATTCAGTGTGGCCAGAGAAGGATGGCAGGCAGCATATATTTCTGCTTCCTCTGAGTAATGCCTCTATCAGGGATCCATCCCATGAAGGACCTATGGTTTTCATAGGCTTGAGTGCCAAAAAAAGAAAAGCTATGCATCCTACCAGGTTCAGCTTTGGAGACATTAGTGCCTCTCTCGGTTAGTGCTCCACGTAGGTTGGGAGCAAACGCTTAAAATCTTTGTTCAAATAAAGTGATGAGTTTTTATGGCCATTTTTTTCTTTTAAAGTGAAAAATCTTTTACACTGCAGATTAGAAACAAAATGATGTCTTATATATGCAGGTTTTGTCTTTAATAAAAAACAGGTTTCAGAAAACCTGTAAAAATGAAACTTTAAGAATTAAATCCATCATTTTATGTATTACAGGCTGCAGTCTGGTTTGCTGATGCATCACCTCACAGGATTCTATAATGGCATACTATCACCTACTAAATGTAAAAGGCATTTTGATTTTGGGAAAAAAGCACCATTTTTCCTTTTCAAAAATGTGACTCATATCTATTTTTAAAGCTATATCATGAATTGAAAGTTTCATCTTTTTCTTTAAAGTTTATACTTAGATCATGCTGCTTCTTCTATTCTTGGTATATGTTGCAATTTAACCCCATTAGAGTCCCTAAGAATATTTTCTTCCTTATTCATGCCAATTGTATCAACGCCTGAACACTAGTTGCAGGAGAGTTTCCTTTAATTCTGTGATACTATTTTTTTTTTCCATTTTCTGATAATCTAAGGGGAAGTGTTGTGAATCTTATAAAAAAAAAAAAGAAAAGAAAAACACGCTAGTTTAAAATTAAAAGAACGAAAGAAAAAAGTAGTTTCTGATTAAACTGGCATATTTTGTACTACTGCTGGTCTGTTATGTATCTGAAGAACTGATCTAAGTATCAGTATCAGTATTTGCTGTCACGATGAAATATTAAAATTAAGAGACTTAGTTTTGCTACCCTTGAAGTACTGTTCAAAGTACCTCATGGGGTAAAAAGTGATAAGAAATCAAGAGGAGGAGGAATGCTTGAGGAAGTATTCTCACAGCCCACTCAAGGTACATAATAAGACATGATTCTGCAGCCAGCACCCACCTCAGAGGCAATATGTAGAGGCAGGTTCCGTCAGAGAGCAGTAAAGAGTAAAAATTAAGACGTCTAAATTTAGAAGGTGCAAAGAATCTCACCATTTCGAGCTACATTGTCCTGAAGTTTTTAATCAGTAAAAACAAACATTTGAAAGAATGTCAGAAAAAAAGATTTTTTTAATGGTTTCCATTTATTTTTTGTTTTGAGGACATGTTGCAAAGTGAAAAAAAAGTTTTAAACAACAAAGAAAACTGCACATTCAAGACAGTTTTACAAGGCATTTACTGATTGCCAGAGTCCTAGAAGTGCTGTAATTGACTTCTTCTGCCTTGAACTTCTTGTGTTGTTTGATTTTTAGCAGTTGTTCTGGGAAGAAACAGAACCATGAATGTTCGTCTTGGCGTCCAAGCGCGGGGCCAGATCCTGCAAATCTTCCATTTGTTGTCTTGCACATTAGAAAGCCTCAGCTATGGAAGGACTACAGAAACTTAGAAGGACTTGCAGTTTCGGGTCACATAGAAGAAACTGATTTGCAGCTAGCCGTGATCAACAGTATATACTGCCGTGGGCAAGGGGCTTAATTACTTACACCAAAGGTTTCTTGGTTTAAGAACTTAAGCTGGAAATCACAAAATGTCAACAACGCAATTTTCATGCATTTTTTTTTTCCTAGAGAGGTGGTTTGCATGTCCTCATCTGCAAATGTTATTGGGACAGTCTTAGGTTACTTCAGGCCAAAAATTCAGATTTCTTATCTATATTTTATAAAACTTAGTCCCGCTGGCAATATTGGCTTGATTTCTCTTAATGGTTCCAATCAAAATACTGTTTGATTTGCCTTTAAACTGTGATCACAGATGAAACATTACTGGACTATGCCAGGGCACTGAAACTAGCTCTAGACAAAAAGTGAAACTACTTAGTCTATTTATTAGTATAGAAGCTGCAAAAAAGGAAAAAAAAAAAGCCCTAAAAATCCTAAAAACTGCCTAACTGAAGAAATAAATTTTCAGTAAATATACTGGTAATGGATAATATTCCCTTAAAATGGCTTGGTGATAATTTGTTTTTTCCTACAGTGATATACTACTGATATTTTATAACGTGCTACAGATGTAGTATCAACCACCTTTCCAGTTCTGAGCTGCAGGGTCCCAGCCATGGCACTGTTCATTAACACCCAGCACTTGGATAATTTATCAGCCAACCAACATGCAGAGTTTCTCATCGCTCCTTGTAACACAAGGGGGTCCCTCCCCTCCGGCCTACTCACGTTCCTAGTTTAACCCTTCAGCAAAAGTTTTATGCTATCTTTACAGAGAGTTCTAATCCACACTAAATATGCTAATAAAGAAATACCTTAAGGGCCTTTTTGTTCATTTCAGTTATACGTATATGCTAAATCTGCAGCTCTCAGTGTTATCTTCAGCAAGAAGTCACTGCCTCTGGTATATGTAATGCCCATTTGCTTTGGCCTGTATAACAGGCAGCTTTTAAACATACTATTTTTTTATCAATAAATGCAGGCTGTGAGATTAGCTCAGAAGGACACTTTCCGTACCGGCAAGACTGATGCCCTGTCTGCATACTTTGACCTCCCAATCAAGAGACATCATTACAAATAATTCGGTGGGGGGAGGGAAAGGGAATCTAAGGAAAAATGGCCACTGCACCAGGATCTCTATGCACATCTCTCTGCAGCATGCACAGAGCCTACCCTGGATATGAGGGCCCTGTGAGGGACAATAGTGGAAGCCTATTGATTTTTGCAGCTAGCCTCTCTCTTTTTTTTTTTTTTTTCAATTGTGAGATCCTCAGAAAGAAGAGTGTCAATAGGCAACGCAGATGGGGTGAGCCCCAGCAGCACTATGGTGTGCGCTGCCAGACAGCCAGAGAGGAGTCACAGCCCCAGAGAAGTACGTGCATGACTTCTACACCATTGGTCTTGTGCTTCTCTGAAAAATCCTCTGGGATCTGCCGGCTTTGGGAGAGAAATCTCTCTTGCTGTTTTCAGGATAGGAAAAACTTTGCCTCATCCCATGGGACAAATATAGGAAATATCTGCTAGCAAAATCTCATGGAATTTTCCTTTGATCAATGCCTTCTCTTGTACATTTTTCCACAGACAGAAGAGGGGTTTATGCCCTGGCTTGAGATTGCTGAAACCGTACGATCATATTACACTTTATACGAACACTGGAAAAAAGCAGGTTTGAGAACAGTGCTGAAGAAAATGGTGGATCTTTCTCTGTCTCGAATCTCGGTATGTGAACTGCAGGCTTCTGTAAGCCTGCAACAACATCTGGCAAGGTGCTGTGCTCTCGGCAGTATACCCTGTCGTGACCGAACGCTCGGGGCTCACGGTCTCTAGTCGTAGGTGCCCAGCACCTCCTGGGACCGGACCCTCCTTTCTGTCAGAGGGAGGAAAGGAAAAGCACCCAGTTTAACATCAAAGCGATACACTAGTTCCTCAGAGCTTCCCTGTCTTGACGCATGTACCAGCTGAAGATCGGACCTTGTGTACTAAAACAGGTCTCTTGTAAATATTTCACGTTCCAGAGTCAAGCAAAAACGCCGACGCTGCCCTTTGCATTTCTATTATTAAAAGGGTCACTAATCAAGCAGTGAACTTACCTTTCCGGCAAATCTACATACCAGACAATCAATATTCATTTGGTGCTAACGATACTCTTTTCCCCATCCAGCGTACCATGTGAATGCAAGCTTGGCCATCTCCCTCCTAGCTCGGGATTAGCATAACCTGGGAAACGAGCCCCGAGGATTCACTAGGGTGTGCTGTGTTGAACACTGCAGGGAAAACGTTTGCAACGACCGCCAGCAGCAGTCGGTACAGTAGTGACAAGACTAGGAAGGGTTAAAGTTTTGTCTGTGACACTGAAATTGAGGCCAGCTGTAGGTCATATTCACGTCCCAGTCACAGGAAAATGAACCTGTGAGACAGAACCTAATTATCTGCTAAACCAAAAGCCAGTCTCAGTTCAATAACTTACGACAGAGCTGGCAGCCAGATATAGTGTTGCCATGGTAACACTGAAAAAAAAAATCCACTGCAGTAGAGAACAAGAAGGAAAAGAAGGAGACTGTAACCCTAAATATGCTGTAGCCATTTGATCTTGGACAAGTGGATATGTCTAAAGAGCCAGATTGCTACAACTGTCTATCCACTTTAATATCCTCTATAATTACTGAAATGAAAAATGCAATTACAGTGTGCTCTGAGCTAAAAACCAGGAGTAACTGGCTAACTGGGAATTAATTTTAGAGTGAACAATATCAGCTTCTTTCCCCTCTCAACACACACAGACTTAGAAGTATGTGGGGGCTGGAGATCAGAGGCGTCTGCTTCCCGCTAGTCCAAAATCACTTCATGCCAATCAAACTTTTGGTTTTCACCATCCCCTCCCCTCCTCCCTCTTCTTCCATCCACCAGGAATTATGCGCGAGGGAAAAGTTTAGTGAAGTAAAGCAGTAAAACTCTCACTTTGGAGACCATAATGTCTGAACTACTTAAAAGTTATGAGTGACACGAGTTTGAAGATCTCAGCAAAGTGTCCTGAGAACGGTCCCTTGTATGAAACATGTAACAGTAGATCACAAGGCAACACAACCAACCTATGTGCCCAGGAATCCTGGGACTAAAGATCCGGTCCTGTCAACGTCAACATGCTTTTATTCAGAGGTAAGCATGGCGCTCCAAAGCACCACCAGCACAGGGTTTGTGGCTTTTCCCTACTGATATCCCTAGCAAAGAAACAAAGGAAACCTTACTCATGAAGCTCTCTGAGCTGGACACGCACACACCCAAAAAACAGCTGTGGAACTCCAGGGTTGCTCTGCCAGTTTTCTTAAGCACAATCTCAAGAAAGTTCACTAAAAATCAAACACAAACACACATCAAACACAAAACCCCACACATATTTCGAAATACATCTCAAGAAATACATATATATAAATATATATGCATACTTCTCAATTTCTGATATGTTGGTCTGTGGATTTCATGTCCAAAAGATCAGCTGAGATTTCATGAAGGAACACACACGTTTTCATGCTTGTGCATGTTAAAGACAGAAAGAGAAATTTTAAACAAAACATCCTGGTTAAAAAATACAGTTCAAACCAAACCAAATCAAGCACTTATTTTGGTCAGCACCTCTGTACAGGCATTTTTCAGCTTGCTGCCAGAGCTACCCCTAGCTATCCAGAGCAGCTTGCTGAACAGTGAGACTTCACCCCCAGATGCTGGAAACTGCGTGGTTTCAGACTCTCACATAGGCATGCTATTCAAGCTCAAAATGTTCTTGCCATTACTAATTTTATGAGAGACTTTAAAAAAATAATAGTATTCCAGCAGTTAGGATAGCAAAATCATTTCCAACTTGAAAGTATGATTAGGAAATATTATTGTCCTCACATTTTTACGCTGCATAGGCTTTTTTCTTCCAACTGGGCGAAGTCCAGATTCAGTAGTCCTTTTTCAGAAAAAAACTCTGATTCAAGTAATAATGCTGTTTGAATAAGAAATAGTTACTTATGTATGGTGTGCCTCCTGAAGTGGGTTATGTACCTATCGCTACTGCATGACTGCATGGTGCTGTATAAGTAGTGAAGAAAAGAAAAACTTGTCCAGCGATATGTTAATGGGTATTCTGTTTTTTTTTTTTTTTTAATAAAAAGCACCACAGGCAACATATACTATGTTGGGCTCTCTACATTCTTTAAGACTAGCATCTTGATCTTGTGAGCACTTACCATTAGTACTTAGTCCAGTGAGTAGTTTCACCGAGCTGGTAGAGATGTCTGGTATGTGTAGAGAATTTAAGTATGACATTTCTATATATGCATTCTTTTTGTTTGCAGTAATGTAGATCAAAGGGAGACTACAGTATTATTTTCAGTGATTCAGCCTGATATCTGACATAAGTGAGGTTTGCGCAAATCAATGGGTCTGACCTTGCTTATGCTGATCATGAATTTGTCCTCATTTTCATCACTGAACATATAAATATCTTGTGCTTTGCTTTAGTTTAACTTTATATTTCTGAAGTGTTGGCAATATGCTTTTAAATCAGTCTGAGGATGTGCTCAGTTTCTGTGTAAAGGATTTTTAGGAAAAATCTTCCTTAACTGATGGAAATTGGCTTTAATGCACTGATTTCCAGCCTTCAAGGATCTGACATAGTAAACTGATAAGCCATTTTTGAGACACCTATTTTAACAATGTCTCTGAATCTTTGCAAAAAGGAACAATCTGACAGGAAATTGAGAGTGAAGCAAGTAATACAGAAGAAGGGAAAAACTGTTGGAAAACGTAAGATCAGTGCAGCACAGGAAACAAAATTTCTGCTCTTGTTCAAAGAAGCAAAAGAAAAAACACACTGGCCTTCATACATGGAATAAGGAAAATAATTTTGACTTTGCTATTCATGTGCATTTGTTTCTGGTCTGAGCCTGCAGCCACGCCCAAACAATAGCTCCAAAAACTGTGAACTACCCTTCCTCTCTTAATTACACTGCTCGGCTAAGGGAAGGCAGGATTACACATGAGCTGAAGCAGAGGAGATTCCCAGGATGGGTTTGTGGGACAATTGTTGAATGGTGCCACATCTATCAGCCGTACTTCCGATATGTCTTATTATTATGACTGGAGATTGTTCTGGACAAAAAGCAACCATCCTCATATATGAAGTTAGTGGCACACTGATCATTAGCAAATCCCAAGACTTCACCTGCTTCTTGCGGCTGTGAAAATGGCAGACTACAGTACTGACGCATTTACATGGCCAAAATCCAGATACGCCTCAGCTGATCTTCTAATGTTCATGCAAAACGGTAGGAAAAGATAAGTTAATGGAGAGCACGGTTTTGTCATGGCAGAAGCATTAGAGACAGTTATTGATTAAACAGTCTGTCTGTTAGCATCAGCATTAAAAAAAAAAAAGTAAAAAAGAGAAATGATGATCTGACCATTATGGCAGTAACAGTAATGGAATCCAGTAGTAAAATTCCAACTCTGCACATCTGCATATGCAACTCCTACTTACATAAATCTGAGTTACTTGCAAGTGTCCATGGACAGATGTCACCAATCTGTGATTTTATCCAAATTCCCACTTAAAGAAAGAACTCTAGAAACGCAACTGTTCATGATAGCCACAGTGGACTATTTTAAGGGAGAGAGATAGCTTTGTGAACAGTACATTTAATTTGTGAAGTTCACAGAAACCCAGCAGAATGAGGCAGTGAGCCCCACATGAAGTACCCTGCAGACAAGACACCAGGATACTCTATTTGCGCTCCAAGTTAGTTGGGAGCCAGGAAGCCCCGTCAGGATGCTCCTAAGGTCTGAGCTGAGGGTTCAGTAGCCTGGGCTCTGGGCTGCGCTAACCACTGCTTCTTCTCTCCTGCTAGGAAGCAGCCCACATGCGTGCCAGCAGAGGTCACGTCTGCCTGCAAAACACCATGGCATGTGGCCTCAGTACGTGCGAAAAGGCTCAAGCCACAACTAGCCACGTTAGAAAATATACACTGGGTACAGCGGCTGCCTGGACCAAAAGCCTCTCTGTTTTTTGAGATGATTATAACACAATAAGCTTGCTTTTCCACTATATTGTGTGGTTATATATCCCTTTGTCAAATGGGAGAAAAATGCTGCCACTATTTTACACAGTTATAAATGACTATGCAAAGGAGATAGCAATGGAGAAGTGGCCTACTTTGTCCTAATCTTATTCAGTGGTTTTACTATTCAGTTACGACTGAGAGAAATACCAAGTAACCAAATGAACCCATTTTGATTGGCCTCATAAACCATGTTATAGTATGTCCTAATAAACAGGCATTATATAGCATTACTTGATCTAATCCTCCTAAAATCAGCACTTACCATTACATGTTAAATTTTGCTTTTTAAATAAGAGCTCAAAGACTGTCTTAAAAATGGGGACTGTTGATTACTGCAAATAGAATTTTTAGTAAAATCACACAATTTACAAATTAGGATTCTATGGTTACTTTAAAAAGCTCACATGCGGTACATGAATCATCTAATAAAGCTGTTTTATCAAAAGCTAAGATCTCTGTTTAAACTTAACAGCTAATATCTAAATTCATGTTCCATTAAAAATATGCCAGGATAGTTTTGCATCATGTTAAATGATACACAGTGAACCTGCTTAATTTGTTACTAGTTTTGTTGCTGGTTTCAGATCCTGAGCAAGCTAGCTAAATATTACCTTTCTTTGCTTAAGTCTAAATGGGGCCTTTCAGTCTATTAATATAGATGATTTAAAATCCTTTTCTGGACGATTCAAATTTGGTTCAGGATACAGCACTAACTTTTTATCTAGTTCTTGAAATCTGTGACTACGTAGGTATGATGTTCTGACAAGGACTGCTATGGTTTGAAGTGCCTTCCAGGGTGCATTACTCTGTCCCTGGTGTAATTTGATGATACGTAAGTAGGAAAGGATCAAACTTGCAGTATGGAGTTTTTCAGGAGTGGAAATAGCTTAAAGTGCTTTGTAAGAATGGTGCCACTCTTCAAAAATCTCAGAATTTCATGATGATGTCTTAGCAACTGAAGCCAATGACAAAAGCTCCCCTTGATTTTAACAAGGCCAAGGAATCTCATTATGGAAACTACAATATTGCAAGATGCCTTTATCTCCCAGGGCATAATTTCCACTGAAAAAAACTGTCATGAGAACATCATAACACCAAACATCACAGTTGCTCTCTAATCCACCTTAAAATCTCTCTACTGCACAGAACAGTGTGTTGCTGGAAAAGTTTGCCAGTAAGCCGTATTTATCAGAAAAAGCCATCAGCCCCAAGTAAAAACAGTCAAAAGATTACGTATTACAAATGCTACCTGTGAAGACAATG